AATGCATTGTCAGTGTTTAATAAAATGGATATATAAACACCTAGGGGAAAATATTTTATTTGATTAAAAACTGCTGGAAAAATTGGAAAAGTTTGGTAGAAAAATACATTTAGACAAGCATCTTACACCATATTCCACAATACATTCTAAATTAATACATGGCTTTAATATTAAATGATATCGTAAAATAATCAAAGAGAAATAAATTGTATATGCCTCAAAGCATATTCTTAACAAAACAAGGGATAGAAGCAATTGTAAAAGGTAAAATAGATAACTTTTATTATAAGACACTCAAAGGCTTCAGTAAAGACAAAACTAATCAACCTAGAGTAAGAAAGGGAGCTGTTCAATAAAAAAAATCTTTGGGTCAAATTTTTCTCATCAGGGATTGGACTTAAGATGTAAAAACAATATAAATATGTACCTGTACATCTACATGTGTGTATATATGTATGTCTTTATCTCTATGTATATGATTGATAGTCATTCCATAATAGACAAATGGTCAAAACATGTGAACAAACAGTTCTCAAAATGAGAAATGAATAGTATTCATGACCACATGGAAGAATGCTGCAAATCATTATTAGTAATTTAAATGCAAATAGAAATAATCCTGGGATTTCATTACAACACCCTGAAAATTGGCAAAGATGACCCCAAATGGCCATTGTCAACACTGGAGGGGCTGTGGGGAGACAGGCACAATAATACACTATTGGTGGAGCTGTGAGATGGTAAAACCATTTTGAAAGAGATTGGAATTATGTAAATAAAGCATCTAAAAGGCCCATACTCTTTGAATCACAGATTCCACTGTGGGGCTTATACCCAAGGAAAGAGTGAGAAGTCACCATATATACCAAAATATTTATAGCAGCATTTTTGTGATACCAAAAAATTGGAAACAAAGTAGATGCTCACCAGTCGAGGAATGTCTAAACACATTGTGGTAAGTGAATAAATGGAGTATTGCTATGTTGTAAGAAATGATGTATGTTATAAAAATAGAGAAGCCTGGAAAGATTTGTGTAATGCAGAGTGAAACCAGCACAGGAAAGAAAATGCTATACACCGTAATTACAATGATGTCAATGGAATTTTCCCCATGCAAAAAAAGAAAAAGAAAAGAAAAAGCAAGTAAATGAAAACAAAATTATGAAGCTCAAGCAAGAAGGGAAAGAAGAGATGGAAAGTGACAAATTTTGGAGAGGATGTGGAAAAATCAGGACACTGATTCGTTATTGGTCTAATGAACTGATTCAACTATTTTGGAGAGCAATCTGGAATTATGCCCAAAGTTACTAAACTGCCTATACCCATTGACCCAGAAATACTACTACTAGGTCTGTTTTCCCAAGATGATTAAAGGAAAAGGAAAAGAACCTATACATTACAAAATATTTACAGCAGCTCTTTTCATGGTGGTAAAGTACTGGAAATGGCTGGGATGCCCATCACTAGGAAAATGGCTGAACATGTTGCGGCATATGATTGTGATGGAAGACTACTGTGCTATAATAAATGATGAGCTTGATGACCTTAGAAAACATGGATAGACTTACTCAAAATGATGAAGAGCAAAATGAGCAGAACCAAGAGAACATTGTAAACAGTAACAGCAAGGTTGTTTAAAGAACAACTTTGAGTGAATAAGTCATTTTGCTATTATAAATACCCAAATTAACTACCAAGGGCATATGAAGGAAGATACTATTTACACCCAGAGAAAGAACTGATAAAGAGTAGTATGTATAGGATGATTTTATTTATATATATATATATATATACACATACTTATTTGCAGCTAATGATAGCCATCTCTAAGGTGAGGAAGAGGGAAGAAAAAGAGAAAAAAATAAATTTACAGAACTATTATATATTTAAAAGGAATAGCAAATTGCGCATAATAGATTTACAGTTTCATGTGGAATAATCTTTTATTATTATACTATGTTATAGAAATTCTTGGTTTATTCCATAAATTAAAAATTAAATATTTTATGGTAATTTTTTTCACTTGATAGTATTTTGTTTTTTCCAATTATATGTAAAGATAGTTTTCAGCATTCATTGTTGTAAGATTTTGAGCTCCAAATTTTTCTCCTTCCCTCCCTCCCCTCGCCCTTCCCCAAGATGGCAAGCAATCTGATATAGGTTATACATGTACAATTGTGTTAAAATATTTCCACCTTAGTCATGTTGTGAAAAAAGATCAGAACAAAAGGGAAAATCATGAGAAAGAAAAACACACAAAAAGCAGTTCTTTCCCTGGATGTGGATAGCATTTTCTATCACAGTTCTTGGAATTGTCTTAGAGCATTGTATTACTGAGAAGAGCTAAGCTCATCATAATTGATCACCATAATGGTTCTGCTCACTTCACTCAATATCAGTTGAGGTACGTTTTTGCAGGTCTTTCTGAAATCCACCTGCATATCATTTCTTAGAGCACAATAATATTCCATTATATTCATATGCATATATGAATATAATATTTTCTTTTCTTTTGTGAATTTTTCCCTTTTCTTACTGTGTATTTAAAGTTTTAGTATTTATGTCTAAAACAAAAAAATTAAAAAGGAAAGTTGAGAAATTAGGGCCATATTTCTGCCTTCCCCTGACCAGCAGATTCTCCATATCCCAGAGGATGTAGTCCCTATTCATGGCCACCACCCTCCACACTGCCAGGTCCTTCCTGGGGTCCTTTCAGCACAAACCTTCTGGACACCACATTCAAATGAATACATTCACCAATTGAAACACGTACAGGGTGCAGGAACTATGATCCTTCCATGCCCCCACCACCACATCCTGGAGAGATAATCAGCTGACCTAAGTGGGAAGAGAATTTCAAACATGCCTCTATAACCAGCCTAGCCCCAGGACTCCACCGAACGCTTTCTCTCCCCACCCCCAATCCAGCCTCCTCACAACTGACAAAGTAATTTTCTGGAGGAATATGACTTCCATATCATCCCCTTTCTCAGTACATAACAATGGCTCCCTGGCACATCTATGATAAAATACAGACTTTTCCCTGTGTAGCTTTTAAAGCCCTTCACAGCCTATCCCCAAGGTCCCTTCCTGCCTTGTTATTCATTTGTTTCCTTCCTATGCTCTGAGGTCCAACCACTGCTTCCCCCACCAGTCTCCACCTTTGTATGGATCCTCTGTCTGTAATGCCCTCCTCCTTTGACCTTTGCCTAACAGGATCCCTCCATTCATTCAAGACCCTGCTAATATGCATCATCTTCAACACAATGTCTTTCCCGATTCCCCAGCTGTCAATGCTTTCCCTCTCAAACTAATATGTATCCACCCACATGCATGTCTTTATTTTATATTAATCCTGTATATATTTACTGTGCACAAATGTCCACCTGTGCACATGTTGTCCCACCGAAGACAATGAAAGCTCCAGGAGAACTTTCTGTCTTTGTATCTCCTCCTCCATTCCATTACTTAGAGCCTGGTGACATTAGATGCTTAATAAATGTTTGATGATGGATTGTGCACCAGATGGGGCCAGTGACCATCTGGCCTGCCATCACACACGTGTTCTCACCCCACTTTTCCATTCACAAGGAATGAAAGTGAAGTCAATCTTACTTATTACTGCAGTGAAGGGCTAGCCATCCAATGCATCCACTCAGGAATCTGAGCCGTGGGCTGCCCTGGGCAAATGTGATCACCAGACTCTCTTCTATCACAGGTTATTCATTTCAACTTCAGTCCTCTTAATGTCTCATCCCACTCTCCCTTACCCTTACTTTGTGCCCTCTGGGAGTCTTGTTCTGTTGTTAATAAGCTTCCCTTGAAAGTTAAAGCTATGCCTTCCACCCCCAAATATTTTGCATAAATAATTTGTACTGACATACATACTTAAATATATGTTGTCCTTACCAATAGAGTGTAAGCTCCATGAGGGCAGTCCTGTTTCTCTTTTGGTTTTGCACTTCTAACATATGCAGCACAGGGCAGGTCACACAGTAGGAACTTAATAAATGGTCCTTGAATTTGAGCTGGGTCTTGTCTAGGCTGGAGGCTGCCTGTATCATAGGCTTCCTTATCAGGAAAGCACAGAGTGATGACATACAAGGAAGCACAGACTGTCAGCTGTGCTCACTCAGGGCTCCTGAGACCCTCTGGGTCAAGGGTCAACTCTATAAGTAGGTGCAATACCTGAGTACAGTGCAAATGCAGCTGTGAACACTATGGCAGGCTATTCCTGGGGTGAAAGGTGCTGTCGTTGGGGTAGCCTAGAGGCAATGTAGAAGCGGGGACATTTAAATACCTGGAGGATGGGTACCCCATACTGAATAACTATAATACCCGGAGCAAGCTTCATAATTTCAACAGATTTGTAGTCAGGAAGATCAGAATTCAAATCTGGCTTTGAGAACCTGGGCAAGTAACTTCACCTGTGTCTACTTCAATTTTCTCATCTGTAAAATGGGGATAATATAGACTCAACTTCATATGTTGTTGTGAGGATGAAATGAAATAGTATTGACAAATTATTTTGCAAAACTGAAAGTTCTATATTATTATTATATATTATACATAGTATCTATATATGATGATGATGATGATGATGACTGTTGTTCTTATTATTTATTCCAAAGAGTAGACGATAAGACTGACCCAGAAGTCACATCATGCATGGAACAATGCTCAAAAACCAACTGAGTCTAGGGTCTGAGGCCTAGTCTTCCGTGGCCATGGCATTAGGCCACTGTGCCCAATCTCGGTCCTTTCAAGGTGAGACTTTCATGGGGGACACAGTCATTTCCAGGCAAGTCTCAGTATTTGTGGCACTGGTCCCCTTTGGTGGTCTTCAATGCTAGTTACCCATCAGATTCCCTGGCCTGTGGCAGGCTACATTTACCTTAAGACTCTGATTCTCTCAGAGGTAAGCATTGAAGGACCATGGTCCCTCATTCATCAGTATAAGAGCGGAAACTGTGGGGCCTGAGTTAGGCAGTGTACAGCAGCAGGGCTGGCCACCACATCCTGGACCAGCCTCTACTCCACCTACCTTTTCCCCTGTTCACAGTTGAGGCTGGGCAGCCCAGGACAGAGCTGAAGACCCACCATGGACCTCACAGTCACTTTCTTCATCTCCACTGGTGAGTGTCCAGGGTCGGGCCTGGGGAGGGAGGGACTTTGTGACATGTTCCTTGGCTCCCAACTCTGAAGGAAAAAAAAAATCCATAAGGAGGAGATAGAACCATTTGGGGCAGAGCAGGAGCCTGGTGTCTGCTCAAAGGGCTCGTAGTATTCTGATGAAATCAGAAGTAAAGGTGCAGGGGCTTTGGTGAGAGCTGGGAATAAGGTCAGAATGGGCTGGAGGGAAGTTATCTATAACTTAAGCTTCTCTTACAGGGCTGTGTCTGCACTGGGCAGTGAAGGCACAGATGGGTGAGTCCTGGCCCCAAGATCCAAATGTTCTCTTTTCACTCGTTGTTTCAAATCAACCGAGAAATCCACTCCCAGGATATTTAGGGAGGGAACAGGTGATGTTGTGATGAATGGATGAGGTGACTCAGGAAGGGGCTAGAGGTGAAAGACACAACAGGGTCAGAGGAATTTCTGGAAATTGAATTTGTTTCCTTCTCAGACACCGTTCCCAGGCCCACTCTCTGCGCTGTCTCAAGTTCTGTGGTCCGCAAGGGAGCAGATGTGACCCTTAGGTGCCAGGGCCACCTGGGGAGTGACAGATTCCAGCTCTGGAAGGATGGAGAGCTCAGAGATGAGAGAAATGCATCCTGGAAGAAGGCAGAGTTCTTGCTCAGGAATGTGGATGAGTGGAGAGATGCAAGAAGCTACAGCTGCCGCTCTGGACAGGGGCCATGGTGGTCAGAGTTCAGTGAAGCCCTGGCCCTGGTGGTGACAGGTGAGGGGTGCTGGTCTACAACCATCCCTGGTGGGAAGGAGGCCAGTCCTGAGAGAGGAGCCCCAGACCTCTCTCTGGAGAGTCACGTGCAAGTGGGACAAACCCTCAGGTTTTACTACCTGCCTCCTGTTAACACCCCCATTTCCCCAGGTTCTGGGAACCCCTTATTCTCTATGGAACATTTTAGGGTAATAGTGTCAGGGCCAAGATTTGAGCCCATGTCTCCCACCCCCAAATCCAGAGATTTTTCCCTATGTGGTCAGTGTCCTCTGGTGACCCAGCCAGGAGAGCTGGACTGCTCCTCCCTCAGAGGATACACAGCAACCTTTGGGAAAAGGGGCACCCAGCTTTACCAGAGCAAACTTTATCCAGATAAACTTTTCCTGCCTCTTCTAAGGCCCAAACTGGCAATATCCATCCTGTCCAGTTGTGTGTCCCCCTGTTCCTTTTGCCCTCACTACTTTGCCATCATCCTGGACTGATGACAACATCACCTCTCCTCATGTCCCACCATTCTTCCTTTGCTCACACAGTTCTCCCACCTGTGATGCCTTTCCCAACCTCATTCATCATTTTCCTACACATTCTTAAAGCCTGGCTCAAATCCTGGCTGCTCTAGGATGCTGTCTCTGATTGCATTAAGTGGCAATATCCTGGCCCTTGGCCCTCCCAGCATGGTGCCTACACCTCTCTTGTGTGCCCACTCTAGCACTGGGGTGCTTCCCACCGCCCCAGGCTGCTGTCCATCTGGCCTCAGTTAGCAGGCAGCCTGCTGAAGGGGGAAGAAGCCTGAGATTGGGAGTCTGTGGCATGAAGTTCAAATACCTTCCCCTCCCAGGTCCTTACTGGGGGAATGTGGGCAAGTCCCTGACCTTCTGTGGACCTTGGGTTCTTTCTTCCATGACATGAAGCTCATGGGCTGGATAATCCAAAGATGTCATTTGAGCTCAAACCCCTGTGATTTCTGGGACTGTGAGCTCCTGAGGGCAGCAGGGGTGGAATCTTCCCTAAACCTTTGGGGCTTCCCCATAGCTGAGCAGAAGATGTCTGATAGGTGAGTTATCAGTGTGGGAAAGGGAACCAGAGAAAATCATTCAACACAGAACAGCTAACACAGAGCCCCCATGCTCCTTGGCCAGCCCTTGCCCACCTGGGGACACACAGAGCTCAGTTAGCTCTGCTCTGGCTTCACTGACGGATGGGTAGGGGTGGCAGGACAGAGACCTGGCACCAGGCAGCAGTGTGGGGAAGTGGGTAAGGGTGAGGGCTGGGAATCTGGGTTCTGTCTAACCCTCCTGTCATGAGGTTATTGGGAGGAAAAAGTTTAGCAAACCTTAAAGCTTAAGGGAAAGGTCTGGAAGTGCTAGTGATGTTACATTATGATCCTGCCTTGATCCAACAGGTCGAGGCTATAGAGGCAGAGCCAGGTCACTTGAAGGGTGTAAAAAGAGTGACAGATAAGAGACAGTGATTCCTCTTCTTTCTGTAGAGAAAGCTTTAACAGCTTATTTAGAAGTTCTCCTGGCCTCTCTTTCTCTTTCTCTGCTTCTCTCTCTTTCTGTATTCCTCCTCTACTTTTCTCTGTCTCCCCTCCCCTCTTTCTCTATCTCTCCTATGTTCGCTGTCTGCCTCTTATCTCTCTGTCTCCTTCTCTCTGTCTCTTCTTTCTGTCTGCTTCCCTCTCTTTTTATTTTTTAACATCTTTATTTAAAGTTCCAAGTTCCAAATTCTATCCTTCCTTTCTGCCCTTTCTCTTCTCTCCCCTCCCTGAGATGGAAAGCAATCAGATATATAGGTTATACATGTGCAATTATGTAAAACACTTCCTTATCAACCTTCTTGTACAAGACGACTCAAATAAAAGAAAAAAATAAAAGGAAGGGAAAAAATAGCCTGCTTCGGTCTGTATTCAGATAGCATCAGTTCTTTCTCTGGAGGATGAAAGTATGCTTCATCATGAGACCTTTGGGATTGTCTTAAATCACGGTATTGCTGAGAACGGTTAAGTCATTCACAGTTCTTCACTGAACAGTATTGCTGTTACTGTGTACAATGTTCTCCTGGTTCTTTTTACTTTGCTATACATCCAGTCATGTAAGTCTTTCCCGGTTTTTCTGAAATCATCCTGCTTTCATTTCTCATAGCATGGTAGTATCCCACTACAATCATATGACAACTTGTTTAGCCATTGCCCAACTGCTGGGCATCACTTTGATGTCCAATTCTTAGCCATCACAAAAAAATACTGCTATAAACATTTTTATACAAATAAGTCCTTTTCTCATTTTTTGGGTGTCTTTGGGATATAGACTTAACAGCAGTATTGTTGAATCAAAAGATATGTACAGTTTGGTTGCCCTTCAAGAATCATTCCAAATTGTTCTCCAGAGTGGTTGAATGAGTTCACACCCTATTTTCCCACATCCCCTCCGACATCCAACATTTTCCTTTTTTGTAATATTAGTCACTCTGATAGGTGTGAGGTGGTAACTCAGAGTTATTTTAATTTGCATTTCTCTGATCAATAGTAATTGGGAGTATTTTTTCATATGACTGCAGATAGCTTTGATTTCTTTGTCTGAAAACTGCCTGTTCACATCCTTTAACCATTTGTCAATTGGGGAATGATTAGCATTTTTACAAATTTGACTCAGTTCTATGAGGCCTTTATCAGAAACACTGGCTGTAAAAATTTCCCCCAGTGTTCTGTTTTCCTTATAATATTGTATGCATTGGTTTTGTTTATACAAAAAAAACCTTTTTAATATTATATAGTCAAAATGATCTATTTTATATTTTGTAAGACTCTCTATATCTTCTTTGGGCCTAAATTCTTCCCTTATTCATAAATATGACAGGTAAACTATTCAATGCTCTCCTAATTTGTTTATGGTATCACCCTTTATGTGTAAATCATGTACCCATTTCGATCTTGCCTTGGTATATGGTGTGAGATGTTAACCTAATTTTTGCCATGCTGTTTTCTAGCTTTCCCAGCAGTTTCTGCCAACTAATGAGTTTTTATTCCAAAAGCTTGGATCTTTGGGTTTGTCATATACTAGATTACTACGGTCATTTACCATATTTTTTACCTAATCTATTCCACTGATCCATCACTCTTTCTTAGCCAGTACTAAATTGTTTTGATAATTACTGCTTTATAATACAGTTTGAGATCTGATATGGCTAGGCCTCCTTTTCCACCTATTTTTTTCATTGATTCCCTTGATATCCTTAAGTTTTGTTCTTCCAGATGAATTTTGTTATTTTTTCTATCTATATAAAACAATTTTTTGATAGTTTTAATGCTATGTCACTGAATAGATAGAGTAATTTATGTAGAATTGTCCTTTTTATTATATTGGCTCAACATATCCATAAGCAATTAATGTTTTCCCCAATTGTTTGGATCTGACTTTATTTGTGTGAAAAGTGTTCCATAGTTGTGTTCATGTAAGTCCTGGGTTTGTCTTGGCAGGTAGACTCCCAATTATTTTATATTGTCTACAGTTATTTTAAATGGAATTTCTCTTCCTATCTCTTGCTGCTGGACTTTGTTGGTAATATATAGAAATGCCTAGGTGGGTTTATTTTGTGTCCTGCAACTTTGCTAAAGTTGTGAATAATTTCAAGTAGATATTTAGTCGATTCTCTAGGAGTGTCTGAGCATGCCATCATATCATCTGCAAAGAGTGGCATTGTTTCCTTGTTGCCTCTTCTAATTCTTTTAATTTGTTTTTCACCTCTTATTGCTATAGCTAACATTTCTAGCACAATATTAAATAATAGAGGTGATAAGGGGCATCCTTGCTTCACCCCTGTAGTGGAAAAGTTTCTAATGTATCCCCATTACAGATATTTCTTGCTGATGGTTTTAGATAAATATTACTTATTTTAAAGTAGGCTTCTTTGATTCCTATACTCTCCAGGGTTTTTAGAAGAATGGTGCTGCATTTTGTCAAAGGCTTTTTCTGCCTCTATTGAGATAATCATATGATTTCTGTCCATTTTGTAACTGATACTGTCAATTTTGCTGATAGCGTTCCTAATATTGATCCCACCTCATTATAGTGTATGATTTTTGTGATATATTGCTTTAATCTCTTTTCTATTATTTTATTTTATTTTATTTTTTGCATCAATATTCATGAGGGAAATTGGTGTATAATTTCCTTTCTCTGTTTTGCCTCTTTTTGGTTTGGGTATCAGCACCATATTTGTGTCATAAAAGGAATTTGGTAAGACTCCTTCACCTATTTTTCCAAATAATTTATTATTATTGGGATTAACTGTTCTTTAAATGTTTGATAGAATTCACTTGTGAATCCATCTGGTCCTGGGAATTTTTTCTTAGGAGTGTCATTGATGGCTTGTTCAATACCTTTTTCCAAGTTTGGGTTGAGTATTGTATTTCTTATTCTGTTAATCTGCATAATTTATATTTTTGTAGATATTCATTCATTTCATTTAGATCATCAAATTTATGCTATATAATTGGGAAAATAGCTCCTAACAATTGCCTTAGTCTCCTCTTCATTGGCAGTGAATTCATCCCTTTCATTTTGGATACTAGTGATTTGTTTTTCTTCTTCCCTTTTTAAAAATCAAATTAACCAATGGTATGGTAATATATATTTTATTGTTTTTTTTTTCATAACACCAGCTTCTAGTTTTATTTTTTAGTTTAATGGTTTGCTTGCTTCTAATGTTATTAGTTTCTCCCTTGATTTTCAGGACTTACAATGTGATGTTTAATTGGAGATTTTTAATTTGTTCTTTTTGTAGTTTTTTTAGTTGCATACCCAATTCATTGATGTGCTTTTTCTCTGTTTCACTGATGTAAGCAATTAGAGAGAGAAATTTTCACCTATGTATGGCTTTAGCTGCATCCCACAAATACTGGTATGTTGTCTCATTGTTGTCATTCTCATTAATGAAATTATTTATTGTTTGTTTCTATAATTTATTATTGACCCACTTGCTTCTTAGGGTTGGAATGT